TTGTTCCCGCCGTCCACCGACAGCTGGCGACAGGCGAACTTCCACCTCCGACTTTCGACCTTCGCCTATCGGCCCCCGCCTCGCCGGACAGACTCTTGACTTGCAGTCTGCGACGCCCGGCGCCAACCGCCAGCTATGGCAAGTCTTCCACTTCAAGATTTCGGCTTCCACCTCGATCTTCCGCTTCGCGTGGGTGACTCGGAAAGTGGAACGTATGCATTGCCAGTGGCGGGCTGTTTTTCCAGTCCCAGGTCTTGGCGAGGGTCGGGGGCGACGTCGGGGTGGCGCGGTGTGCATTTGTCTGTCCGTTTCCCGGGGAAACGACGAAACGTGTATGCACCGGGACCCCGTATGCACCAGGATCCGTGTTCCTGTTTGGAAGTTGCAGTGCAGGGCCGGAAACGCGTCGGTGTTTTGAGTTCGGTTCCCTAGTGGCGTCCACTCTCATTGCGGGTCAGATCTTCAGGCAGAACGGTCCACGCGGACAACGTAAACGGAGGGTTCCGGCCCCCCCGCGCAGGCCCGGAAGGGCCCCGCGTTCGGCGGGGCCGCGCGCTCGCCTCGCCTCGCCGCGCGCGGTTCGTGGCCCCGTGGGGGGCCCCGCCGAAGGCCCCAGAGGTAGAGTCCACGTGCGCCCGCCCCGCCCGCCGCATATCCATGTCGGCGCACCCCTCGCGCGGTTCGTGGCCCCGCAGGGAGCTGCGCCGAAGGTTCCAGAGGCGAAGTCCACATGCGCCCACCCCGCTCTCCGCATGTCTATGTCGGCGCGCCCCTCGCGCGGTTCGTGGCCCCACAGGGAGCTGGGCCGAAGGCCCCAGAGGCAAAGTCCACGTGCGCCCGCCCCGGCCGCCGCATCTCCATGTCGGCGCACCCCTCGCGCGGTTCGTGGCCCCGTAGGCAGCGGGGCCGAGGGCCCCCGAGGCAAAATCCACATGCGCCCGCCCCGCCCGCCGCCCGCCAATTTCGGCGCACCCCTCGCGCGGATCGTGGCCCCGTAGGCAGCTGGGCCGAAGGCTCCCGAGGCAAAGTCCACATGCGCCCACCCCGCCCTCCGCATGTTTATTTCGGCACACCCCTCGCGCGGCGGGTGGCCCCATAGGGGCTGGGCCGAAGGCCCCGGAGGCAAGGTCCGCATGCGCCCGCCCTCCGCATATCTTCTTGGCGCGCCCCTCACGCGGTTCGTGGCCCCGTAGAGGGCTCTGCTGAAGACCCCAGGGGCATAGTCCACGTGCGCCCGCCTCGCCCTCCGCATGTTTATTTCGGCGCACCCCTCGCGCTGCTCGTGGTCCCATGGAGTCGGGCCGAAGGTCCCAGAGGCAAGCTCCACGTGCGCCCGCCCCGCCCACCGCGTGCTTATTTTGGCGCACCCCTCGAGCGGTCTCTGGGGGCCCTGCCGAAGACCCCAGAGGCATAATCCACGTGCACTCACCCCGCCCTCCGCGCGGTCACGTCGGCGCGCCCCTCGCGCGGTTCGTGGTCCCATGGAGCTGGGCCGAAGGCCCCGGATACCGAGCTCACATGCGCCCGCCCCGACCGCCGCATGTCCATGTCGGTGCGCCCCTCGCGCGGTTCGTGCCCCATTGGGGGCTTCGCCGCGGGCCTCAGTGGCAGCGTCCGCATTCGGCTCCACGCCCGCCGCGCGTCCATTTCGGCGCACCCCTCACGCTTCGCGTGGCCCCATAGGGAGCTGGGCCGAAGGCCCCGAAGGCGAAGTTCACATGCGCCCTCCCCGGCCACCGCTTGTCTATGGGCTCTCGCCCTGGCCGTCGGCTGCCCGACGCGCTGCCCCCTCGGCCGACGCCGCGTGGGCGTGGACCTGGACTGTGGCCGCCGCGAGGTCTGGAATGCCAAGGAGGGCGACGACAGGCGGCAAGCTCTCGCGCGCCTCGCGCCAAGAGGACCTCCCGCTCATGCGGGCGCCGCGCGTCGAGCTCTTCCTGGCGGGGCCGCTGGGGGGCATGTGGACGCGGCTGGGGCAGTTTGCGGCGCGCGCGAAGCGGCGCAGGAGGGGGGCGACCGCTCTTGCCAGGGGGCAAGGCTTCGCCGAGTTTTTCCGTGAGGCCTGACCTGGGGAGCTGGCCCGCCCGAGCAGCCTTTCGCGATTGTCCAGCAGTTTGGCCTCGCGCCGCGGGGGCGCGCGCCCTTCGCTGGGAGCCTCTCGGGGCGACCGGCGCGCGTCGCGGGAACTCCGTCCTGCGCTCTGCCCAGCGCCTCGCTCGCCCGTCGTCGCTCTGCCCAGCGGCCGGAGCCTTGCCCGCTATCGGCCAGCCGGCTCGCTGTCTTTGCTCCGCGCAGCGGGCGACCCGCGCGCGTCGCGCGTCGCGGGGGCCCCGCGTTGCGCGGCGCCCGCAGCCTTGGATTTTGGGGCGCGCGGGCAAAGAGGGGGAGAAAAACGGGAAGGGCCATCTTGGGCGGTCCAGTTTTCTTCGCGCCCCCCAGCAGACAGATCGCGGACGCAGGGGGCCGCGCCGAATGCCCTATGGGTCGCTCCGCGGAAGGCCCCAGTGGCTGCGCCTGCGTGCCGCCGCCGTCTCGCTTGGGCGCGCCCCTTGCGCGTTTCGTGCCCCCGTGAGGAGCTCCGCCGTCGCGGTTGCGGTGCTCGCGGCTGCGCGTGGTTGGGTCTTTCGCGGGGCTAACTAAGATGAGTGTGCGCAGCGCGAAGGCGAGGGCGGCGTGTTGAAAACCATGTGCCCACCATCCGTGAAGTCCCTGCAAACTTCTGCGGCGAATGCGTGCGGCGCTAAGGCGAGGGCTGCGTTTTGGAAACCGCCCGCCCTCCATCCGTGAAACCATGGCACGTTTCGAGCTTCAGGATCATAAGTGGCGAGGGAGTCTCGGGCGAAACGCCTAGCCCGCCCTGCCGACCCGTCTCGGGGTGCGACAGGGGAAAATTATTCATAGGGAGAAAAGATGGAAGAGGAAGAATCGGAGGTGGATTTGCCCCGCACATAGCCAAGGGTTCGTCTACTCGTGGTTGGGCGGGGCAGCCGTCGCCCCTGGTTGAGGCCTGGGGTCGAGGATCGAGGCTTCCGGCTCGGGCGTCTCGAATCAAGGTTTTTTGGGTTTCTTGGCTTTGGATGGGCCTCGGAAAGGGCTCCCATGGGGCCTTTGGACCCTGAGGGGATTCCCCCCGGCTGCTATCATTCATTGCCCACAGGGAGCGAAGCCCGCCACCCTCCCCGCTTTTGGTGGCGCCCCTCTCTGCCCTTTCGTGGGCCGAGGTGGCTGGGGGGGCCCCGGACGTGAACCTCGGGGTGGCCTTTCTCCCCTCTCTTCCCCACCTCGCTCCCGCGCACGCTGTGCTTCGCAAAACGTCCCCGAAAACGTCCCTTCGGGACTTCCGGAGCCCATGCAGACTCGCGGAGGATCTCTGGACTTGGACGTACGGCCGTTGGTCGTGATGTTATTCTCTGTGCCCGCGGATTGTCCCTCGAGATCCCTTTTTTTTGTTGTTGTTTTTTTTTTCCTCCCTTTTTTTCCTCTTTCTACCGAGACCAGGCTGGATTTTTCCTAGATATCGTTCTACCGAGACCAGGTCGGATTTTCCCTCGATCTCGGTTTCTCGGGGCCAGGTCGGATTTTTCCTCGATTTCGGTTTCGCGAGACCAGGTCGGATTTATCCTCGATCGCGTTCTTTCGAGACCAGGTGGGATTTTTCTTCGCCCTCGGTTTCTCGAAACCAAGTCGGGCCGTAGGACGATGAAACGCCGTTCTGGATGCAACGCGAGCGCGAGAGCCTCGGGGCTCTTGATCACAGCGGCCTTTCACCTTTGCAGGCAGTTGGGGGGGATGATGAGAAGGACGCTTCTTTTTAGTCAGCGCGTGGAGCCGCGTGACGAGAGTCAGGAACACGCGGGGGAGGAGGACAATTGGGAGGAGAGAAGGCCACACCACACTCCAAACTGTTGGGCGCAAGAGTCAGAGTGCATGTGGGACAATTTGGTGCAAGAGTTAGAGTACATGTGACATGTGAGTCAGAGTGCACGTGGGACAATTGGGTGCACAGCTTATGCGCGCGTCCCTTAGCGTGAGCGAGCAGGTGCGAGGAGCGTGGAAGGAGAAGCGAGTGCGGAAGACAGAGGGCGGATGATGTGAAGCAAAACGGTGTAAGTACAAAGCCTGGAGGACATTTCAAGGCGGGGAGCCCGACGAGGTGCCCCGACATAAACGCAACCAGCGTGTGCGGCAATCCCCAAACAGATCGCGGGATTGATCAAATGTATCGTGATGCCTTCAGAGTCTTCTGCTCGAGCATGAGCGCGCGAGAAGCGCGCGCGATACTGTCTAGGGTGCAAGCAGACATACACTTCTACATACGTGACGTGCAATGCATGCGCATGCGTGTGTATATATCTGTATACAGTAAAAACCAGAAACGATGTGCTCTGACATATATGTTCATGGCTGCGTGTACATTCACACACACATATATACATATTCATATATAACAGATGTATGGTGTACGAGTGTGCATCTGTATGTATATAGGTAGGTCTGCCTGTCTGTCTGTATGTATGTAAATATGTACGTATACACGTATTTGCGTCTGCATGTCTATACATATACACGTACATTTGTACTATACCGCTGTGCGCATATTTGGTTTACGTTGTGCATGTATATGGAGAGGAAGAGATAAGGAGAGAGAGAGCGAGAGAGAGAGAGTGAGAGAGAGCGAGAGAGAGAGAGAGAGAGAGAGAGAGAATGAGAGAGAGAGGGAGATAGAGAGAGAGAGAGAGAGAGGGAGAGAGAGAGAGAGAGAGAGAGAGAGAAAAGGAGAGAGAGCCAATACGAGAAACAGAAAGAGAAACAGAGGGATATATATATATGTATATAAGGTTGGATATATATATAGAGAGAGAGAGAGAGAGAGAGAGAGAGAGAGAGAGAGAGAGAGAGAGAGAGAGAGAGAGAGAGAGAGAGACAGAGAGAGATAGAGAGAGAGAGAGAGAGCAAGAGCAAAGAGAGGAGGAGTAGCAAGCAAGTTGAGGAGCTCGCAGTCTTATGGCCGGCTGCCGCCGCTGGACACCCCCAACATGGGCTTCGGTGTCACCTCGTGCTTCGCGAACGGCGCCATGGACAGGTCGCACCTCTCGACCGGTGGCGCTTGGAGTGCGGGACCTGCGGTGAGGTGAAAGGCCCGGTCCCAGGGAATGGGGTCGAGATCAGGGGTTTGAGAGGGGGGAGCTGGAGATGGGGAAGACTGAGGCGGAGCGGTTGGTGGGAGGCTGGGCAGGTGGGCGCTGGGGTGGAAATGATTAGGGAGCAGAGGGAGGAGGGCGGGCGGGGAAGTGGGAGGAGGCTTGGGGAATAGTAGGTCGGAGGAGGAGGAGGAGGAAGATGAGGAGGACGAGGAGGATGAGGAGGAGGAGGAAGATGATGAATGGCTGAGGGAGAAGGGGGGACGGACGAGAGAGGTCGGGAGGTAAGGAGGAGGATGACGAAGAAGGGGGAGGAGGAGGGAGGAGGACGAGGAGGACGAGTATGATGATGACAAGGAGGCGGAAGAGGAGGAGGAGGAGGAGGAGGAGGAGGAGGAAGAGGATGAGGACAAGGAGGGCAAGGATGGGGAGGATCAGCAGGAACGATGATGATGATGATGGTGGTGATGATGGTGATGACGGTGATGATGGTGATGAGGATGCTGATGACGACGATGATGTTGATTATGATGATGATGGTGATGATGACGATCATGATGCCGCTGATGATGATAAGGAGGAGGAGGAGGTGGAAGAGGTGGAGGAGGACGAGGAGGAGGAATCACAGGAGGAAGAGGAGGCGAAGGATGATGAAAAATGATGATGATGCTGATGATGATGATGATGATGATGATGATTCTGATGATGATTATGATGATGATGATCCTGCTGATGATGATGATGATGATGCTGATGCTTTTAGGCCTCACCTCGTGCTGACGAGGACGACGACAGACTTCTAAGGCCTTACCTCGTGCTTTGGCTTAAGGAAACAGGAAGGTATCGTGAGCACGTTGATGGTGATTCTTGTGGTGGTGATGGTGGTGGTGGTGATGAGGATCATGATGAAGAGGAGGAGGAGGAGGAGGAAGACGAGGAGGAGCAAGAGAACCATGACGATCATGCTTCTGATTAAACTGGTGATTCTGGTGGCGTTGGTGATGGTGAGGGTGGCGATGATACTGATGCTGAGCTGATGTTGACGATTATGCAAATGCCGCTGACGATGACGATGCCGTTGACGATGATGACGATGACGATGATGACGATGATGATGCTGATGATGATGCCTGGTGATGATGATGATCGTGATGGTGATGGTGATGGTGATGGTGATCGTGATGGTGTTGTTGATGATGATAATGATGATGATGATGGCGATGATGATGATACTGATGATGATGATGCTGATGCTGATGCTGATGCTGATGCTGATGCTGATGCTGATGCTGCTGATGATGATGCTGATGATGATGATGATGCTGACGAAGATGCTGCTGAGGATGATGATGCTGATGATTCTGATGTTGATGATGCTGATGATGCTGATGATGATGCTGATGCTGATGTTGATGCCGATGATGATGAGTAGGAGTAGGAGGAGGAGGAGGAGGAGTAGGGATACTTTTGAAGGGAGAGGAGGACGACGGCAGACTTCTTAGGCCTCACCTCGTTCTTTGGCTTAAGGAAACAGGAAGGTATCGTGAGCACGTTGATGGTAATACTGGTGCTGGTGGTGTTGATGAGGATGATGATGATGATGATGATGATGAGGAGGAGGAGGAGGAGGAGGAGGAGAACGAGGAGGAGGAGGAGGAGGACCATGACGATCATGCTTCTGATGAAACTGGTGATTCTGGTGGCGTTGGTGATGGTGAGGGTGGCGATGATACTGATGCTGAGCTGATGTTGACGGTTATGCTAATGCCGCTGACGATGACGATGATGATTCTGATGATGACGATGGCGATGATGACGATGATGATGGTGATGATGATGATGATGCCTGATGATGATAATAGTGATGGTGATGGTGATGGTGATGGCGATGATGTTGATGATGATGATGCTGCTGACGAGGATGAGGATGAGGATGAGGATGAGGATGAGGATGAGGATGAGGATGAGGATGATGATGATGATGATGATGATGATGATGATGATGATGATGATGATGATGATGATGATGATGACGATGCTGCTGCTGATGCTGATGTTGATGCTGATGGTAATCATGATGGGAGGATGATGGTGACGACCATGATGATGGGGACGGGAGGGGGAGCAGGAGGCGGAGGACCATATGGAGTCCAATCTGTAGTAACGGTGCTGCAAAACACCCTCCCGCCCGAGGTCCCTGCTCAGAAGTTCGTGCGAGCGTCCTTGCGCACGGCGCAGGACGTCTCCTCGAACGACTCGTGCCCCGCGGGCACGCAGGCGAGGCGGGAGCTCCGTTCTGCGAGGAGCTGCCTTCCATCCTTCGAACCGCAGGGGACGCGACGAGGTGGGCTCGTACAGCCCAGGAACATCCCAAGCCAGAGCCCAATATCGAGAGGGAACTTCCTGGTCTCAGGCCAGAGCCCAATCTCAAGCCAGAGCCCAATATCGAACAAAACAAACATGAATAAAACAATATCGAAAAGGAATTTCCTGGTATCCGTGTAGGTGTTGCGCCGTTTTCAATCTCAGGCCATAGACCCAATGAGGCCTCAGGCGAGAGCCACGTTTTGGATAGGGGCCACCCTTCACCCTCGTAAGTATTGCCAGTGTCTATACACCTGGTAGATTTTGTCGTGGAAGTCGCAGGCGAGAGAGCACCAACGGCGCCTCTCTCAATCCGTGTAGCTGCTGGGAGCTTGTAAGACGTTTTTTTTTGCGGCGCCAGCGCGAGAGCCCTAGTCTGAGCACCTTTGGCGCTGCATCTGTGTGACCGTTTTGTGTTTGGGATTTCGATCGTCAAGGTCGTACACGGTGGGGAAGCCTCAGGCGAACCGCCTTGCCCGCTCTAGCGACACGTCTGGTGTCGCGACAGGGAAGGGTTATCCATCGACTACGCCTACTGCGAACCACCGGCGCCCCCTGCCGTTTGGAAGCGCCTGTATGGGCAAACGTTGGGCCGAAGTCTTGCCAAGCTATTGCGTTATGTGTTCCTCCAGCCGTTGTGGAAACCCTTGGTGGTCACACGTGGGAGGAAGAGAGAGGACGGAGAGAGAGAGAGGAGAAGGAGGAGGACGAGGAAGAGGATGCTGCTTGGGGGCCTCTCGGGGCCTCCTGGGGGCTCTCCGGGGACCTGGGCTCTTGGGGGCGCATGATTGCTTCTTTGAGGCCTCGGGGGCCTCTTGAGGACCTCTAAGGCGCTGCTTGTCCTTGGAGGCCGCCTTGGGGGCCCCCAAGGCCCCCGAGATCGCCCCAGAAGACCAAAAGGGCTGCCCAGGAGACATCGATACGGCACGAGAAGCTCTCAGGGTGGCCGAAGAGGCCTTCAGGAGGGCATCCAGAGAGGCCCCAGAGGAGGAATTCGACTTGCACCTCGGAACCGCACCCCCCCAAGATGGCCTCCAAGACTCCCAACTTGCTCCCAAGAGGCCCACCATAGACCCCGAGACGACCCCCAAAGCTCCCAGGAGGCTCCCGAGGACCCCCAATAGCCTTCCAGGAGGAGGCTTCCAGGAGGCCCCTAAGAGACCTACTCGCCCCTCTCCTTCTCCTGCCCCTCTTCCGCCTTCCCCCCCCTCGTCATCCGCTTCTCTCCTCCCTCCTCCTCTCCTCGCGCTGCAGCCCCCCCCCCCCCCGCGGGCACGGAGGCCCCACGAGCTTCCAAGGCGCCCAACGAGACGCCCAGCCATACAAGCATGCAGCACGCGCTTGAGTACTCGTTGGCCCCACGACGGTTCCAAAAGCCCCCCCCCAGACGCGGCCCGTCCAACATGCGTACAGCAGGTTCCAGATCGTCCAACCTTGGCTGGAGAATTCCAGACATTTCTTCTATGATGCTCCCGGGAAGTGGTGCGGTGCACCAGGTTTGAGTGGCGTTTGGACGTGCTGCAAATGTAGTGCTTCGCGTGCTTGGCATAAACTGTACGACATAGCTTCCGCCACACGACTTACACCACACACATTCTACCACACAGCTCACACAACATTGCTCGCACCGCGTAGCTTACAGCACAGCTTGCACCATCCAGAGTGCAACAAGTCATTGCCCTGGATCCGCGTCAAACTTGAATTGTACACTTGTGCGAACTTTCGGATGTATGGATGGAAGCAGGTGTTTTAGCAGCACGGAGCCGAAACGCGCCACGCAACAAGTCAATGCTGACATGCTGACAGTCCTTATTCAGTGTTCACCTCGGGTTTCTGTACAGACGTTGACCAGCCCCAGGATAATGCAAAGCGCGCGCGACGCGCGGGCGTGTGTAGTGTGTATATTTGATATGAACAGGTAAGCCGTGTCTTGCAATGCAGTCTAACGAGGTCTCAAGCGGGAGCCCCTATGTTAATGATAATCCGCTCTCCATCCGTGTAGCTGTTGCACAAGTTCAGGCGTGTGGTTAGAAATTAGATGACGTCTCACACGACAGCCCCGCTTCCACGAAGGACTGCTCTCTATCCGTGGAATTGTTTGGAGCTCTTGATCATACAGTGTGCGGCGCCAAGGCCAGAGCGATGACAACGATGTACCCTCCATCCGTGTAGCTGTTTGAAATGTGTTCAGGCGAGAATGCGCGTCGTCAATGGGAGAGCTCGATGTTGGCCCGTCTTGAAAACGTCCCGCCCTCTTATCGGTGTAGCTGCTGGCACAGGTTTCAACACATGTGCGTGGCGCCGGGATGAGAACTCCATTTTGACAACGACCCGCTCTCCATCAGTGTACCTGTTGGAAGTTTCAAGCTTCAACGTCGTAAGCGGTGAGGGCTTCTCAGGCGAAGCGCCCAGCCCGCCCTAGTGATGCGCCTGGTGGCGCGACAGGGAAGGTTAGTTACCAGGAGGAGGGATGGACGGAGGAGGAGGAGGAGGGTGGAGGAGGAGGAGCAGGAGGACGAGGACAGGGATGATGACGATGATGATGATGATGATGATGATGATGGTGATGGATGATGATGTGATGATGATGATGATTGATGATGATGATGATCTGACAGAAGGAGGAGGAGGAGGAGGAGGAGGAGGAGGAGGAGGAGGGAGGAGGAGGAGGAGGAGTAGGAGGGAGGACGGAGGGGGAGCGGTGGTGAGGGCGAGGACGGATCGACGAGCGCGGTGGGAGTGGGGACGGGCGCGCTGGCGACCCGACGAGGGCCTCCTTGTTTTGGCAGCTCTCCTAGCGAGCGTGGAGCTCTCCGTCTTTCGTGCCCATGCGGCTCCCCGAGGGAGCACGCCCGCGCGGACTGCCCGACTCTGACCACTGCCCTTCGGCAGGGGAAAAGGGAAGGCAGGGACGGGGGAGGCAGGAGAGGGGGGCGCATGGAGGACGGGGGATGGGGGAAGGGGGAAGGGGGACGGGGGCGGGATGTGATGGGATGGGATGGGATGGGAGGAGGAGGAGGAGGAGACGGAGGAGGAGGGAGGAGGAGGAGGAGGAGGAGGAGGAGGAGGAGGAGGAGGAGGAGGAGGAGGAGGAGGAAGAGGAGGAGGAGGAGGAGGAGGAGGAGGAGGAGGAGGAAATGAGGACTTGTTCGAAGTCGGTGGGCTTGTGGGAGCCAGTGCCCATGGGGACCAGGCACCAAGCACTGGTTACCCTCCTGGAGCACGGTGGCTGACAGGCTCCACCGTGAGATCGAGGAGGACTCCCCGGCATCGTCCCTGCCGATTCTCGTGGATCGAGGTGAGCGGCTCTAGGCGCCGCTTAGGCAGCTTAGGCAGTTTCGGTGAGCGGCTCTAGCTTGCTCCCGTTGTCAATTAGTAGGCCCGCGCCCTGGACTTACGACTCGCCGCTTGCGCTCTCGCCTGCGGCCGCGACCCCCCCCAAAAAAAGGATCGAGCGCCAACTCCGCTGGACGAACCTAGCCTCTGCTGCGCCCGACGGGACACGCGCTGGTCCTGGAGGCCCTCGCTGGAGCGCCTCGCACGGCAAGGGCGGCATGAAACGGCGGGGGTGTTTGAGTGCTCACTCGCCTGGGGTGTCCCCGACGACGACGACGCCGCCTCCGCCGCCGCCGCCGCCGACGCCGCCGCCGCCGCCGCCGCCGCCGACGCCGACGCCGACGCCGCCGCCGCCGCCGCCGACGCCGACGCCGACGCCGACGACGCCGACGCCGTCGCCGACGCCGACGCCGTCGCCGACGCCGACGCCGACGCCGACGCCGACGCCGACGCCGACGACGACGAAAGCGACGACGATGGAGATGACGACGACAGCGGCTACCGCAGTGGCGAAGCGCTGCCGACGACGACGACGACGGCGGCGACGATGACGACGACGATGACGACGGCGACGGCGGCCACTGCGGAGGCGAAGCGTGGCCCAGGGAAACGACGTTTGCGGCGGCATGGTCTGCCTGCTTGTGCTAAGTATTTTCGCGGGGGCAGGGTAGGATCGCGCCCGCCGATCGAGGCGGGGGAGGGAAGTGGAGGAGGGGATGCGGTGGGGGGGGGGAGGGTGGAAGCAGAAAGGTAGAGGAGCCCCCCCCTCCGCCCTCCTCCGTCCTTCCTTCTGGGCCTGTCGGAGCGCAAGACAGACCGAGGACAAGAGGGAGACAGGCAGAGAGGCAGCACGCATCGGAGCATGAGAGAACGAGCTCGGATTCTGAAGACGAGAAGCGGGGGAGTTGCTTTGGGGTGGGGGCGCCTGGGCGCGGGCCATAGGCGACGCCCCCGACGGGGGCGCCTGCGCTCAGCTGTCCGCTCATGGGGGGCGACGAGACTGAGGGGATTTTGGGAGAGGGTTCGACTTAAACGGTGGTTTGGCGATCTCGTGGGCCGTCTTCGTTTGGATTTCGTTTTGCAGCAAGGGCGGAGCGAAGACGAAACGAGGGAAAACGAAAACGAACGAAACACGAGAAAAAAACGCTGTTGAGGTCGAGCCCTGATTTGGGCGGCGGGCGGCGACTTCACCCGCCGTCTGCTGCTGGCGCCGGAGACGATGTAAGCGGCAGAGCGGGCGCGGCTCGCGCGCGCAGGCTTCTCGGGCTGAGGACGGGGCTGCCGGGGATGAGCTCGTCGCTGTGGAGTGGCCGGGGGAGCTCCGAGGGAGCCCTCAGGGGACTCCGGCTCCGCGCGCGCTGGTCGACAGGCACAGAGGCGGCGCGCACCAAGAAACCGTATGTTTTTTTCGTCAGGCTATCCTGAACTTCATCGCTCCTCGCGCTGCGCGGTGACTTCCCGCAGCCCGAGTTTCCTCTCAGGTGCACCTCGTGCGCGGGTTTTCAGGGTTGGGCTTCTTGGGTTTCTTGCGGCCGCACTCGCAGTGTACACCTGTGCGGAGCTGCTCAAGATCAAGGTGGAGGACCAGGGTTGCCAAGGACAAGCCCAGTGGTCTGGACCAGGGTTGCAAGGACCAGGGTTTCCAGGGTTCGGCGTCCCAGTGGCTGTGAGTTACCGTTGGGCTGGGTTGCCGCTGCGCGGTGGCGGGTGCCAGATCGGTGCCTTTCCATCCGCCCATCCAGTGTCATCCACCACTGCGCCCAGACGGCGACGAGGGCGTGTGGAGACGACGACTTCGGCTCCGCTTGCGCGTTCGATGGGGACACGCTTGCAGTTGCTCAAGCTCAATGTTAAAGATTCAGGCCAGCCAGAGACAAGTTCGGCATCCCAGTGGTCGTGAGCTGCGATGGGGCTGAGTTGCCAACGTGTGGTGGCGGGTGACAGAGCGGTGCTCTTATATTTGATTATTGAATCGCTTCGCTCATTCCGCCGGCCCGTATTGTGCCATCGCGGGGTCTTGGGGGGTCTTGGGAGCCCTTGGAAGCTTCGTGGGAGCTTCTTGGGAACTTTGGGAGGCCTCGTGGATGGCTCTGGGTGGGCCCTCTTGGTGGTCTCTTGGGGGGGTCTGCCTGGCCTCTTGGGGGCCTCCTGGGAGCTTCCTGGGGGTCTCTTGGGGGCCTCTTGGGGCTTTCTTGCGGCCTGTTGGGGGCCTCTTGGGGCTCTCTTGGGGGCTTCGTGGGGCTACTTGGGGGCTTGTAGGGGCATTTCGGGGGCGTGTTTGGGCGGGAGGCTCAAAATTTCCGTTCAGGTTGCCCCTGTGGACCTCAATCATGGGGCCGTCTTGGGGCCTCTTGGACCGTCTTGAGGGTTTCTTGGGCCTTCTTGGAGCGCTCTTGGGCCGTCTTTGAGCGGTCTTGAGGGTCTCTCGGGCCGTCTTGGGGTGATCTTGGGGGCCTCTTGGACCGCCTTGAAAGGTGTGAAAGACGAAGAGGCGGATATGTTAAAAATGCACGCTTTCCTAAGGGAATGAGACGATTTTTGCTTGTGGGAGCCCTCTTGGGACGCCGCTTAGGGACCTCTTGGGGCGTCTTGAAGGCCTGTTGGGCCGTCTTGAGGCCATCGTAGGCGCTTGGGGGTGATATTTCGGCGTCTCCCGGCTCTCTTGGACCGTCTGGAGGGCTTCTCGGGCCCCTCTTGGACCGATTTGGAGCCCTCCTGGGCTCCGAAAAAGAGTTCTTGAGGGTTTCTTGGGCCTTCTTGGAGCGCTCTTGGGCCGTCTTTGAGCGGTCTTGAGGGTCTCTCGGGCCGTCTTGGGGTGATCTTGGGGGCCTCTTGGACCGCCTTGAAAGGTGTGACAGACGAAGAGGCGGATATGTAAAAAATGCACGCTTTCCTAAGGGAATGGGACGATTTTTGCTAGTGGAAGCCCTCTTGGGACGCCGCTTAGGGACCTCTTAACCTCATGCCCGTGAGAATAAACACTAGGGGATAATAAAGTTCGGGGTTCAGGGAGAGATAATAAAAGTAGCCCAGCAGACCTCAGCATAATCTCGAAGTAAGAGATGATCAAGAGGAGACCAAGCCGAGCACGTTTTGAGACATCCTTGGCGTTTAGTTTTCATAGAAATATCCTCAACAATGGCTTATCTCTCATGAAAATTGTTTTTTGTAAGTGCTCGTGTAGGGTAGCTCATGTGCCTCAATTTCCATGGATAATCAACCCCAGAGATAAAAAAAGTTCAGGCGAGCGTGGGGACAGAGAGAAATATAAAAGAAGAAGAAAACAGTAGAATAATAAAAAGAAAGAAGAAGAAGAGGATAATAAGAAGAGGATGAAGAAAGGAAAAATCCAAAGTTCCAAATCTATCACTTTTAATTTACAAACGCTTTATGATAATTGATTTTTTTAAGTGCTCGTGTAGGGTAGCTCATGTGCTTCATTTTCCATGGATAATCAACCCCAGGGATAAAAAAGTTCAGGCGAGCGTGAGGACAGATAGAAATATAAAAGAAGAAGAGGAAAGTAGAATAATAATAAGAACATTGCTCGTTTCGTTTGAGTCTGCCTCCCAAAATTATTGGTTTCGCTTGACACATCCTGAAAAAGTGTGATCGCTTCGCTTGATGTTGCTATATCAACATCGCTTGATGTTGCTATCTCAACATAGCGTTTCGAGGTGATAATGAAGTTCGGCCTCAGCGCTCGCCGCCCAATTTGAATTTTGTATAGGGCGACGATAATCAACTCTAAACACTGAAGGGGGGGGGTCCCTTTATTATCGTCGGCATGCGGTTAGGGACCTCTTGGGGCGTCTTGAAGGCCTGTTGGGCCGTCTTGAGGCCATCGTAGGCGTTTGGGAGTGATGTTTCGGCGTCTCCCGGCTCTCTTGGACCGTCTGGAGGGCTTCTCGGGCCCCTCTTGGACCGATTTGGAGTCCTCCTGGGCTCCGAAAAAGAGTTCTTGAGGGTTTCTTGGGCCTTCTTGGAGCGCTCTTGGGCCGTCTTTGAGCGGTCTAGAGGGTCTCTCGGGCCGTCTTGGGGTGATCTTGGGGGCCTCTTGGACCGCCTTGAAAGGTGTGAAAGACGAAGAGGCGGATATGTTAAAAATGCACGCTTTCCTAAGGGAATGGGACGATTTTTGCTTGTGGGAGCCCTCTTGGGGCGCCGCTTAGGGACCTCTTGGGGCGTCTTGAAGGCCTGTTGGGCCGTCTTCAGGCCAGCGCAGGCGTTTGGGAGTGATATTTCGGCGTCTCCCGGCTCTCTTGGTCTTGGACCGATTTGGAGCCCTCCTGGGCTCCGAAAAAGGACCTTGCCGGGAGTCTGCCGGGAGTCTGCCGGGAGTCTGCCGGGGACCTTGCCAGGACCTTGCCGGGACCTTGCCGGGGTACTTTTCGTCCGGGGACCCCCAGGGCCCGCCCCGCGCGCGCGAATTAGAAATATTGTTGAGCAGTTACCGGAGATCTTAGCACGCCTCTGGCCCGTCGGGCCGGCGAATTCTGTGTCACCCAGCATTGCCCCTAGCGGCAGGGGGGGAATACGGGGACGATGACTTCGGCTTCGCGTACGTGCTCGACGGGGACACCTGCGCGCAGCGCTCAAGTTCACGGTGAACTATCCTGCCAGCCAGGGACAAGTTCGGCTCAGAAGTTCGGCTCAGATCCCCGGAGACCGGGACAAAGATAAGCCAGGACCAGAAAACCAAGGAAACGACATCCTTTCCTGCAAAATCGCATTTTTCAGCGCCCGTGCATTTGTTGTTTGCTGCACTGCAAGATTCGGGATTGTGTCTGGGTGTGGGTGGGTCTTGCAGGCTTGTAAGGTTTGTGTCTGGGTTTATTCTGGAAAGGTTGCAGTGCAGTATTTTGTTCGTGCCGCCGTCTGGAAAAATTGGTTTCGAGGGACGTTGCGTGTCTGGGTCTAGCGTGTCCGGGTTTACGGGGCCCTGATCGGCGGCTCGGTGGCCGTGAGCTCCGATAGGGTTGGATTGTCACTGCGTGGTGGCGGTTGCCAGAGCGGTGCTCTGACATTTGGTTGTTCCGTGTCACCCACTACTGCGCTCAGGTGGCTGGGACGTCGACTTAGGCTCTACTTACGTGTTCGGCTGGGATATGTGGGCGCAGCTGCTCAAGATCAAGCCAACATTGGCTGCCAGGGGCGCCCTGGTGCTGTGAGTTGGCTTGGGCTCTGTTGCCATTACGTGGTGGCGCGTACCAGCGCGGTGCTCTGCCATCTGGCCATCCAGTGTCGCCCACCTCTGCGCCCAGGTGGCGGCGGGGGCCCACGGGGACGACGACTTCGGTTCCGCGTGCGAGTTTGACGGGTACGCTTGCGCGCCAATGCTCGAGCTCAATGTGGAGGGCCAAGAGTGCGAGGGACAACCGCATTGCCTCTCCTGAGGGCGAGTGGTCCCTGCGTGGCCACTGATGCTTGGTCAGCTGGCATCAGCTCGCCCAGGCGGCCCCTTTCCTGGGAGGGGGTGGCGGGTGGGCGAGCTCGTTGGCACGTGCTGCGAACGCCAGTTTAGGCTGTGGCGGCTGCGAATTGTGGCGGCTTGCTGCAGCTGCGTCTGCGGTTGCGGGTTGCGGGTATGGGTTGCGCTTGTGCGCTGCGGGTTGCGGGTGGCAGGCTGCGTGCTGCGGCTGCGTGTTGTGGCAGCGGCGGGCCGCGGCAGCGGGATGTGGCGGCGGCCATGCCAGGTGCGCTGCCGGGGCTGGTGGGGATCCTGGGCGCGGGCACGCCCGCGGCCCAGGAGCAGGCGGCCGCCGCCGCGCTCGGGAACCTTGCCGTGGCCGACGACCAGCGGAAGAAGACCGTGGACGGGGGCGCTGCGGGGGCTGGTGGGGCACCTGGGCGCGGGCACGTCTGGGCTCGGCAGTGCGCGGCCAACGCGCTCTGGAACGTGGCCTGCGACGACGACCACCAGAAGATCGCGGTCGTGCGGGGGGCGTTTTAGGCTCTGGTGGGGCGTCTGGGCGCGGGCACGCCAGGGGCCCATGAGCAGGCGGCCAACGCGCTCGGGAACATTCCCGTCTTCCACGGCTGCGAGAGGAGGATCGCGGCTTTGCTGGGGGCGCCGCAGGAGCTGGTGTGGCTCTTGGGCGCGGACACGCCCGCGGCCCGGGAGCAGGCGGCCAGCGTGCTCTCGAGCCTGAGCTTCGGCGCCAGTGCCAAGAAGCAGGCCGCGGCCGTGCCGTGGGCGCCGCAGGGGCCGGCGGCGGGCCTGGGCGGAGCGGCCCCCCGAGGCCCGGGAGATGGGCGGCAGGCGCGTGCGGGAGCTGGGCTCCCGACGCCGCGATCCAGACGAGGCGCTGGAGCGGTTGGGCTGCGCGGGGAACTGGCCAGGCCCGTGGAGGGCGCTCTGCCGCAGGCAGGGCCCGCCCCATGGGCCGGGGGAGCGCGGGGGTGGGGGTGGGGTGGCGGCTGCCGCCTGGGCAGCGAGGATGGAATCTTCGCACTGGCGTGGCCTGGCCAGCAACAGCACGATGTGGGGGAAGACCCGGTGTCCAGAGGAACGGGCCGAGCCGAAACCTCGAGGAGTCCACGCTGTGAGACAACCGCGGTGTCGGAGGTTTGGGAACTGGGAAACAAAGAGCGTCACCGAGCCGAATCGTGCCCCCGCCGCCGCCCGCCGCCCGCCGCCCGCAGCAAGCGCCCGCGGCCCGCGCCCTCGGTTACGAGCTTTTGCCCAGCGTGTCGCTGCAGCGGTCGCGGCGACACGCTATGCTCTGCAAGCGGATAGTGTGTCGCTCCGCCGCGCAGGACGGGAAGGTTGGACAAGCTCGGGATGTCGACGCCTGCAGACCAGGAGATGAACAGCGTGTCGCGCCGAAGCGTGGTGGGCCAGAACCGGCGGCGCGACACGCTGCTGTCAAAGTTCCTGACCGTATTTCCCCTAGCTGCCAGCCCCTGGCGCCGTCGCCATTCCCGCCGTTCCCGCCGTGCCCGCCGCCGCCGCCGCCGCCGCCGCCGCCGCCGCCGCCGCCGCCGCCGCCGCCGCCGCCGCCGCCGCCGCCGCCGACGACGACGACGACGACGACGACGACGACGACGACGACGACGACGACGACGACGACGACGACGACGATCTCTCGAGCGCCGCCGCCGCCGCCCGCCGGCCCCTGCCCGAGCAGCGCGGTCGCCGCCCGCGCCGCCCGCCCCGCAGCCAGCGCATGGCCGGCCAGCCAGCTGGCGGCGCGCCCGCAGATGGCCGACGTGCCGCCCGAGCTGGAGGCCCTCGGCGGCCCTCGGCGGCCCTCGGCGGCCCTCGGCGGCCCTCGGCGGCCAGAGTCGCAAACCACAAGTGGGGTCGCTGGCAGGTTCGAGCTGGTGGCTCGCGCAGCGCTCGGCGAGCCCCGACGCCCCCCCCTCACCGAGGATTTCAAAAAAACCCAGGATTGCAGGATTGCACCCCCCCCCCCCTCACTTGAACGAAGGATTGCAAAAAAACCCAGGATTGCAAAAAAACCCAGGATTGCAGGCTTTTTTTTTTTTTGCAATCCTAGGTTTTTTTTTTTTTTTTTTTTGTTTTGCAATCCAACGCCCCCTCCGCACCGAGGAGGAGGCGGAGGTCGTGCGGGCCATCTACGGCGAGGACGCGGTGCGGGCCTCCGCGGGCGGCGCCGGGCTCCTGAGCCTGGAGGTGGACCTGCAGCCTCGGGTCGAGCAGGCGGGCGCCTCGCCCCTCTGGCCTCCCCCGGCGTTCTCCCTCGCTCCTCCTCGCTCCTCCTCCTCAGAGCCCCCTCCTCCTCCTCCTCCTCCTCCTCCTCCTCCTCCTCCTCCTCCTCCTCCTCCTCCTCGCTCCTCCTCGCTCCTCCTACTCCTCGCTCCTCCTCCTCCTCCTCGCTCCCGCGCGACCAAAGCCGGGACCTCAGACGTCTGGCCGCTGGCAGCCCCTGGGGGGCCCTGCGGGGCCCCGTGGCCGTCCGCAGGACGGCTCAGGATGGAGAGCCCGTCCCGGGGGATGTCACCACCCACCAAACCACCCCAACCCAACCCGAAGGCTCAGATTTACCCTCGATTTCCAGTGGGGGGGGTCGGGAAACATAGAAAAAACACGCGTGGAACCCTTACCCCCCCAACCCGAAATTCGCGTCTTCGGGTTGGGTTGGGGTGGTCTGGTAGGTAGTCAGGATGGGTCGAGACCTCCACCGGTCCACGTTGTGCAACTGGGTCCTCGGCCTCCTCCTCGGCGGCCTCCTGGTCCGTGTCAGCAGCTTTCGCCCGCGTGGGGGTCACGATGGTGCCAGAGCTGCCGGCCTGGGGCCCCCCGGGCGCCTGTGCCCATGCAGCCCGTCCGTGGTTTCGTCCGCTTGATCCGTACAGTCGGACCGAGGTTATTAGATTGAGGTCGGTTCGGGCAGGGTACAGTCAGCCCGCATAGGAAGGATGGGCTCCCTTTCCAAGTGTACCCTTGCATCCTTGCCCCTTCGGCCCATCCTTAGCGATTTTCGCTGGCCAGCCTCGTTCGAGAAACGTTCGTGTGGGCCTCCAAGGCCCTGGCACCCCTACCGCGCATCCTTACGATACGGGTCGAGTGTAACCTACTGTTCTTCGTGTTTGTTGGCTCTTCTTCTGCATCCTGGGGGAGGGCACCCTCGAGTACTCTTATGGTTTGAGGCGTTTTGGCCGGCGGAGGGCCTCTTGTTCTTGGAGGATTTTTTATGTCCTAGGCCTGGCTGTGCCCATGCTGCTGCCCCCCCCACGTCTGAGCGCCAGGGGGAGCAGGGCATGGACGAGACGCGCGGCCCCGGAGGCCAGACATGCTGCTCATGCTGCCGCGCTCGCCCCTCGTGGGGTCGGAGCGCGGGCAGGGGCACGGAGATCGGCGTCACCCAAGCGTACTGGTATTGGTGACGCGTCGACCCCACAGGGGGGTGACGCGCGCGCCGAGACACCTTCCAGTGCAAGCTCCGTGGTGGGCGCTTCCCGGCCAAGCCGCTCGGGAAGCGATGTACTACAAGATGGTTGTACTGTATGTTCCGGTCGGACGGGCGCCTCCGAGGGGGACGCACGGTACAAGTGTGTCCTTCTGCGCCCCATGGGCAGGGACATGGACTCGGCGGCGAGCGAGGGGGGGAAAGGAGAAGGAGAAGGCCTCCTCAGAAGGCGGCGGGACTTCTCAGAAGACCTTTCCGGCCTTCTGAGAAGCCTCTTCTGTACCTTCACGGGGAGGCTCGGAGCACCTCTCAGAAGGCGGGGGGACTTCTGAGCCCTCTGAGCAGGCCCGCCCCGGGCTCGCCGCCGAACTCGTCCTCCAGCCTTCGCTTCCTCCTCCTCTTCCCCTTCTCCCCCGCTTCTGCTGCTCCTCCTCCTCCTCCTCCTCCTCCTCCTCCTCCTCCTCCTGCGCCTCTTCCTTGTCCTCATCCCAAAGGTCCACTCCGATGGGCCCCCCTGGGGCGGCGGCGGATTTTGGACTTCCTTCCCCTTTCCTCCCCCCCTCAGTGGCGTGCGATCCTTTTCCTAATCCCCCGCTCACTGCTGCTCTCCCCCCCCCCTCGGCTCGCCGCCGACGGACAGAACGTCGATCGTCTCCCCATCTGCCCTCCGCGCAGGGGCGCTGCTCCAGCGCCCCTGCGCGGGGCCCAGTTGGCAGCGCCCAGACCACCCCTCACGAGGCCCAGAGGGCCCCAGGGGCTCAGAATTGAGCGACAAGCTGGGGGCACCCTAAGCCAGGGGCACCTGTGAGGGGGAGGTGTCGATCTGGCGGGCAGAGCAGTCCACCTCGCGCTCTCGGCGAGCGTCGGCTGTCCGCCTCCCTGCGCCGTCGTGGCCCAGCCGCTCTGGCGAGCCTCGAGCGGGCCACGCGCGCTGCGGCAGAGGCGGCGGGGGCAGGACTCGCGGGCGTCTCGGGGCCATTTTTGTGCGTGCGGTGGGCTCGCTGCGACGGGGACCAAGGGCCGCCCGCGTCGCCCAGGAAGACTCAGAGGAGGGAAAAGGTACCTATACCACTACTCTTCCCTCGTTTTCTCCCTGTGCGTCCCACCGTAGCTCGGGGCGTTAGCGAAAGGCTGGTGTCCACCCGTTCGCGGCAATGCCGCGCCGGGACGGCCGCGGGGGGAGTAATTACTAACGCTCCCCTCGCTGTAGTTTCCTGCCCCGTCCTTCCCCTCCAAATGAGGGTTGGCGGAGCCATTGTTGACGTTATTCGTTCGCAGCCACTTGTGCTTTTAGGTGAGAAAACGCGCGCGCCCTCCCCTCGCCCCAGGTCTGGCGCTCTCGTATGCGCGCATGCACCTATTGCAGTAGCACGTTTGCTTAACGGACGCCAGAGCCTTGGCGTCAAATGCTACATCACCGAAGCGCAACCTGAGACCGTCGTTGGAATAATGTCAACTTAAGCACATGGAACAAGAGGTGGTCAACCGGATCAAACTGATACACAAATCCATGATGAATCGGCAATTTGTTGATTCCAAACGTGGTAGCAAGCTCCAGCTCAGCAACATCATCACAATGTGTTCACGCTTTGTTGGGTGCCTGCCAGGCCGCACGCGCCGTAGCATGCACGGCTCGAGTTGCAGCCTGAGGGGTAATTATGCGAAATACTTCCCTGCTGGCAAGGAGGAAGCTGTCTAGGGCCAAACGGAACATAAACTGGTATACTCTGAAATCAATATACGATGCACAAGTCGCAGAAGTGAAAGAGCATCGGCCCGCACTTGAGCGGAACATGCCAATGAGGTCTGAATTCTCAAGACACCACCGCAGAAAACAAAAACCCGTGATCAGCCTAGCCAGATTTGGGACCATCAGAAAAACCAATCGTATAGTTCGAGCTAGACGTACGACACGCATGCTCCACAGGGCCCAAAACAAACATGCCCAACCTGCGGGATATTCCAAGGCCTTCCGAAACCTGAGGTGAGATTTGCCAGCCCCCCACGACGATGGTGTGAATGGGATCGTGTATGTGCTTGCACGTCGTGACCAACATCTTGACATTCGCCTTGTCTTCAAGTATACTGACAAAAAAAACGGGACCGTGCGCCATCCAGGGAAACCCACCAGAACCTTGAGAGTTTGTCCAGGGACAAACATCTTGACATTAACCTCGTCGTCAGGTATACCGGGAAAGCCGGGGACCGTGCGCCATCCAAGGACATCCACCAGAACCTTGATAGCTCGTCCAGGAACAATGGGAACAGGGCCTCCAGGTGAGGAGGAGGAGGAGGAGGGGGAGGACGAGGAGGAGGAGAAGGAGGAGGAGGAGGAGGAGGAGGAGGAGGAGGAGGAGGAGGAGGAGGAGGAGGAGGAGGAGGAGGAGGAGGAGGAGGAGGAGGAGGAGGAGGAGGAGGAGGAGGAGGAGGAGGAGGGAGGAGGAGGAAGAGGAGGCAGCAGTAGGATATCCCCAGCCAAACTAAATAGATTTTCATCTGTGGTTTTTCCGTCAGGGTAAGTTTCACGGGGCGAGCGGGAAGCCTTCTCTCAACACCTTCCTGCTCAGTGTGTCTAAGGTAAGTGTGCGCCGTGTCGACCAGCGGCAGCCCCGCGGCCAGCGTTCAACGTCGGACGTTGCTGGTGACCCAGAATCGGTCGATGTCGAAAGATCCGGCGTTTCGGAGACGCCGGATCGTTCAAGGCTGAACGACCCCCGCGGTGTCAGGAGTCAACACTGGGTCGACACGACGTGAGTGAGCCTGCTGTACCCGCTTCCAACTGG